ATTTCATGAAATCATGTTAAACTCACTTTAATTTAATATCAACATTAAATATAGTTATTATTTATTATTTACTATAAAAAGCAAAATTCATAAATATGTAAAGTGAAATGTGGTAAAATTTATTAAATTTATTTGAATATGTTATTGATATATTTTTTTTAAATACAGCCCTTTCCAGACTATTAAATTTTATTTGAAAAAAGCTGTTGTATGCCCAAAGTCAGGATGTGCTTATATAGGTCATGATGTGATGTCATCATGACAATATTTAGGCATAAGCATCTTTTTGTCAAATACTTTGGTAGTCTGGACAGTGCTTAACAGGAATTGTGGAGGTCACAGGGTCATTATATAAATAATTCGTCGCTCACATCACGAACTAACACAATCAAATTGTGTAGGAATTGTGGAGGTCACAGGGTCATTATATGAATAATTCGTCGCTCACATCACGAACTAACACAATCAAATTAGATTGTGTTAGTTCGTGAAATCACAAAAGCGCGTCAAAATAAAAGAAAAAAGAGACTTTTTGTGTGATAAGGAATAGGAAAGTGCCTGACAACCAATACACGCTCGTTTTGACACGCTACTGTGATTTCACGAACTAACACAATCTACTTTGATTGTGTTAGTTTGTGATGTGATTGATTGATGAATTTATGTCAGCAGGATGTTTATAAAGTCGTAGACACAAGAAGATAGTGTTGATATCATCAGCATTAAAGTAAATATGTCTACGTTTACTCTTCTGATAAGGACAAAATGTAGGTTTTTCAGTTTGTTTTGTGAATTTAAAGGTTTCTGGTGGAAAGTAGTGAATGATGAATACAAGTAATAAAAACTTATTACACCCATAATTCTGTGGTGGCACCACCCCTGACCTAATAAGAGTAATTGGTGCTACTTCAATAATCTATTAATTTGACTTTGCTGTATTGACTTTAATAATCACAACTAAGTTAAATAACTTTTTTTTTTTGTTAATAAGAAAGAAAGAATAAACATAGTGTGGACTCCAGGGCTGAATACTGTATTTTTATTGTTTTGAAAATCAACAATATAGATTCAAGATTATTTATTATTTACTTCATTTCAACAGACAAACAGCGAATCATCGCCACTAACAAGCTGGTAAAATAACGTACTCGCGCGAATAAGCGCCCAGGCGCTTAAAATATTTTTAGTACTTTCCGAGGGGCGCTTATTCAAACGGGGCGCTTATGAAAACAGAGTGGAAATTGAGGTGGGCGCTTATAGAAGTAGATGAAAATTGAGGGGTTCTTATGGGAAATTATTAAATTCAAGAGGCACTTTGTGAATGAAAAAAATATTATATAAGGACATTACGAATGGTGGTCAGAAAAAAAAAGCATCCAGAGAACATGGTTTATGACAACAATGAATGAATATTTACATAACAGCAAAATAGCAGATGCTCGGCCGATTGAGATTAGCAGGATGGCAGGATCATTGTATTTTTTCTTAAAAACTAAGACTGTCAGACTAGACTGTCTGTCCAGGGATCGGAGCTCTCATCTGGCCAAGAGAAATATGAAATATCCTCATTTTGATATTGACCGAAGAATGTGTTTCCCATAGCTCAAATCATGCCAACAACCACAGTCCCAGGAGTGATTGGATTATTGACTTGGTAAAAAGAAAATCTTATGGGGGGGGTGCATAAGGAAATTTTCACGCTTATTCGCGCGAGTACGGTATATAAAATTTAAATATATCAAACATGCAGACGAAGGTGTACAAAAATCTCACTTATTCGAATGATTAATTATTACACATCTAGATGTGTATAAGAGACAGGAATTATATTGTAAAGAAAGTCTAGAAATAAAACTACGTTTACAGGCTTCAACTCTACAAAAGATTGCAGATGATAGTACTTCCCACCATTAAAAATTTATTTAAACACATTACAACCCGAGTCATCTAAGTCCCATGATAGAAGTTTTCGAATGGGGGACCCGACTGGATACACCAATGATGAGATTCAGAACTATAACTGCTACAAATTAAATAGAAATTAACAATAATTCAATGCATAAATAAAATGTAAAATGTATAAAACCAATGTTTACAATCTTTAAGTAGAAACAAAAACGAACAACGAACACATTTGTTAACAACTATAAGCACAATCGAAAGAATAAATGGACTCAATACTAACATGAATCAATTATTTGTAAACATTTTAAAAATTAACATTAAATGAATTTATTGATGGTATTAGGTAAAGTTCGAATATAACAAGCGATATTATTCCATATGTTTGCCCAGCAATTTAAGGAGTGTTTTTTAATTTCATCTACGTTTGGTTTTTGGGGGAACAGCGATGGTGTTGACGACGATCACTACCTACTTGATAAAATTTGGTAAAGGGACTTGAATAAAGGGGGTTAGGGGGAGTGCTGACCCGGCCCTCCCATCTGGCGCCCTCTAATTTAATTTCCTGGATCCGCCACTGAGTCTGTTCCGTAACGTCTTCATCTCTTGAATGTTTTTCTATTCGTCAATGTGGTGATTATGCCACAATATAATTGCAACAGGTTTGTGAGTGCTATAGGTTAAACCTTGACCTGCATTAATTTAGGTAACCCGTCATTCTCCATTTCAGGTTTGTACGCCTTGACTCTATTTGCAGATTTAAGGAACTTTGATTTTTCATGATAAGCAGACACGATGCAGGCACAAACACCTATGATAATCGCCACACCTATAATGCTAGAGAAAATGCAATAATTTTTTTTTTTAAACCTGGGTGGTAGAAATTATATCAGGAGGGTGGGGAGGTACTCGGTCGGGCCGGAGTATGCACAATTAATAAGGAAGAAAACTATTCTACAGAATATACGACTCTGTTAAAATGCCTGAATTTTCGGAGTTTCAGTAGACCTCCATCTTCTGGACACTTCTTACATCTTACACTCTCAGGGACACCGTCCTCCACCACCTAGACTCCCGTGACTTCCTGAAGCTTGAGACCCCCTAAATTATATATATGTATAAATAATATATATATAGATGTATATATATATATATTATATATATGTATATATATACTTACTTACATGCATATATATATACATTGTATATATACATACATATATATAAAATGTAATGCTGTATATAAATATGCATATAACAATCAAGATAGCTGTTAACACTGATAAATTATATATTCTATTTATTTATATTTTCATATTTTTATATTAGCACCGAACATATATAAATATAAGCAATGGGTAAATAATGGAGACATACAGTATATTTTATGTAAATATATGTATATATATATATATGTGTGTATGTATACTGTCTCTTATACACATCTAGATGTGTTATATATATATATATAGGCCTATATATATATTTATTTATTTTATTTATTTTTATTCAAGAGGGAACACAAACCACAACAAAAATACAAGAAATACGTCAAACATTCAACCGAACTACTAATGATATTACGAAACATACGAAAGTCTTTACAGAAAAAAATATTTAACTCATGATTTTTTCAAACAAGGGAATTATAACTTTAACTCAATAACCATTATACAAAATGGAATGTAAAACTTGGATTGTTTCTGAGACGGCGACTGGAGCCTCTAAGATTACAACTATTACAATCGAACATGGCATTACACATTTATATAAAAAAACAAGATGTAGCACAAAAAGCGATTGTGCAGCCGTGCAGATTGGGTTTTAGAAATTGAATTGTAAATAACTGAACACAAATTTAGGGTGGGTTGAATAATAGTGAAATAAAGATGAATTTTGGTTTGTTTATCAAAGTTTTTACAATTGCGCCACATCAGCCCAAGCAGTCTATTGCACTTGCCAACAAGATGATCAACGTGCAAAGAAAAACTAAGGGTGCTCTCAATAAAAATACCAAGATCCTTTTGTGAATGCACCCTGTTTATGGGATTGTTGTTAATTAAATAATTGTGCATTAATCAGTCCTTACCTCAGACCATACAACTGCTCAGGATTAGAAATGTAGTGAAATTATCTGCTAAATACAATACTATCCGGACAATAATGAAGTACTGTGGATTGTCTTATCCTTGATGAATGTACTAAGCATTATAGCCTCTAGTACAATGTCACTACAGATAATTCCATGCAATTCAAAGTCATCGGTTTATGCTTACTTGTCTCCATCCCGTTGGGGTTATGTTACCTTTGTAACAACGCGTATGCATAATTGTAAAGGATAGATTATTAACCAACCGGAAGCAAATCGTTTGTCAATATTGATATAGGCCTATCACTAAAATGTGACTGATTACTATTAGAAAAAGGAGATATATAAATAAGAGTTGGTATTATAGTAAATAACCAATGAACACTAGTACCTGCGATAAGCATCTTGCCATCAAATGGTTCATTTTAAAGCTGAAAAAAGAAAAATAAATTCCATTATTTTAAATTACCTGATTTGTATTTTTTAATTCTGACTTGGTAGTTACATTTTAAATTAAATTTGAACGTGAAAAGAAGTAAATTTAACTGACGTTACCTGCCTAAATAACCTAACCTAACTTTCTTGTATTTATTTGCATAGTAGTTGGCTAGTAATCAGTGGGTTTTGGTAATATCTCTAAATCAGCAAAAAATGTTTATCCATCTCAGGTTGGTATAACCTATTTGATCATTTTGACTGAGTCATGAATTGGCCTATTTGAGTCTCGAAAAAAAAGAAGTCCATCTTGAAAAGAAGCCCATCCTAAAAACCAAAAGGTTTTACGATACAGTATTTATTTTTATCTTTTTTTAAAGTAATTTTGAAAACTGTTTGTCGCCATCTGTTGGCGAAAAAGTAACTTGTAAATTTTTAAACACTGACCGGGTACTCTTGCTCGTGTTTTGGCAGTGATTTATCAGCTGTACACGTGAGTTGAGTTAAACGTCTGACGCGGTGTAGGCCATAACTGTTTTCATTGATTTTGTTGGGCAAGAAGTACCACCACAAAGTTGCGAATGATTCCAAACTTGCTTGCTGCATGACATCACACTATACCACTAAGCTGTGCTCATCTGTACTGTTTTCCTATCTATACAACGGCTGCGGTTTTAAGGTGTATTGTCTTGGCCTCTTTTCACAGCAGCATTCACTGTTTTGAATTCACTGTGGATGAAAAGCGAGACCATCTCTCCATTCTAGTGTATCCACAAGGCCTAGTAGGGGCCTATGCCTATAGGCTATAGCACCATGATAAACGACTTTGGGCCTAGCCTAGGAAGGTAGGTATCATACCGTATGTTGCAATGAGGCTAGCCTAGGCTAGGGTTAGGGTCATGTGTGTAAATCAGGTGGAGGTCCATGATGGCTACTCTACCACAAGGTGGGGGCCCTATTAGCAGGTAGGCTTATAGCACACTATTTTAAAAATGTTACCCAGTGTTTTTATTTTGTAGCCAAATGATGCAGCTTGGTGAGCGAAACTCGAAATGGCAAGAATTTTTTAAAACAGACTATAGGGTGTTCACAGGCAAACATATGTTATATGAATTAGACTTTCTAAATGGTTTATTCTGATAGAGAATTTAATGCTGAGTAAAATAGTCCAAACCCCATCAAATTATCTTTTTTACTTATCGGGTTATGAAATAAAACGTGATCGATGGTCGAAGAAAATTTTGGGATCGAAAATCAGATAATCCTGTATGTTGGTAGACCATGAAAATGGTCATTTTCTGGCTAACTGTAGGCAATAATTAACAAAAAAACACTCATAAAACCTTAATTATTCATATTTATTGTATAAAACTATATATTTTCAGAAAGCAGTAACATTCAAGATTTTACTTTTTTAACCGATGAACAAAATAAAAATGGCGGATAGGCTCAACATGGCTGCCGAATTCAAAATGGTGGCCAAAATAAAATATATATATATTTGCATTATTATAATAAATGCTGTAATAACATCAAAAGATTTGTGAAATAGTGATTGGATCTATTATTTAAAAAACTTAAAATGGCTGCCACATTGAAAATTGCCGCCATATTAAAAATGGCCGCCATGTTAAAAATGGCCACCATGTTAAAAATGGCTGCCATAATGAAAATGGCCGCCATATTATGACTGTCACATTAACATAAAAAATTCTGAACCCTATGGAATTTTAAAGTTGAAACGGTGGTTTGACCTATAATTCAAAATTCAAAATGGCTGCCAAATTCAAAATCGCCACCAAATAATAATATAATCTTAATGTACAGGGTAAAAACTATCCCCGCCAGACACCATCCTGTTATTTTTTAGTCCACGTTTCAGGGCCGGAATTAAAAGATTATAATTTTGCAATATTACATGGTAAAAATTCCCCACCGGACACGATCTCGGTATTTTTTAATCTACTTTTCAGCAGTTCTTCTTTTTGAATTTTATTTCCAATTTAAATGTCCAATTTAATTTCAATCAAATTTTATAATCAATTAATAAATTAAGTCAATTAAAATTCTGTACAAATAAACTAGAGAAAGAAAAACATTTATTATAAAATACAGTGTCAATTCAAACATTCTTTTGTAATAATATGGTATATATGAAACTAATACTACTATAGGCCTAAATGCTGAACTGTGAAGGGCTGTGCTCTGCTGTTCAGCCTGCATAACAATGCTGTCACGGTTGGGTGAGCATAACTTTCCTAGGCCTATGATTGACTTAAAAACATGCTGTCTTTAAGATCATTTTTCTACCTTTTAAATACATCTTATAAACTTCTAATTTGTGTTAAACAATGTACAAGGCATTATATTTTTATAATTATTTACCAACTAGGGTGAGTTGATTCAGTGAAGTTTATTTTTTCCAAAGTTTCTGACAAAATTTGTCACAGTTTTAAAAGTATCCACACCATCAACTAATTGCAAACACCAATTTGTAGGTCTAGGTGTCAGCTTTCAGAAAAGCTATTGAAAAGCAGCATTTTTATTGGTTAAGAGTTTGACCTGACCAAAAAACTATTTTGACCTCAGAGAACCAAGGAGAAAAATTCACTCAAAAAGTGCTAGTGTGTGAAACCCTATACTGTAAGCAGAGATTTGGTAGGCTTACTAATTTATAAACTATCATTGTGGCAAAACTACTAAAGTGAAGTTAATAAAACTTACAGATATGATAGAAACAACCTTTCTCTCACTAAAAGTGAAAGAATTTTGTTGATAGACCTTCTACAAGTGGAGAAATATTAATTTATGTGGGAGATAGTCAATTTGAATTGCAGTTTCCTGCACGTTTTACTGGTGGTGTGAACACCCTACAGACTACAGGTTTTTAAAGCCCCATTCCCGGCAAAATTTCAATTTAAAAAAAAAATCTAATTTTTGTATAATGTTATAAAGATTTATAAATATAATACGGAATTGCTAGTTTAACTGAATTTAGACATTCCTAAGAATGAAAAAAATGTAAAATAAGACTGAAATTTGATTTTTTGTGTTCCACACAAAAAATAAATGCGGATGAACTTTCATGTTTGATTTTGCGACAGGTCGTGAGAAGAAATATCGTAGGCGCCGAAAACATTAGCCTATCCAATGCTGCTAGGCTAGGCCTAGCCTTACCTCGATTTAGGTTCTGTTATCACACATAAAAACGGCCGACATGATATTTTCCGTTGCTAGTATTGACACTTGTGAATATAATATTTTCACAGGAATTATTTCAAATTTGTTAAAAAACTGATTCTGACTGAGATTTTGACACTTAAACAAACAAATCTCAGCATAACCGAACGACCGCATTGTGCGAGATGCGAAGTACAAAAAGTAATCTCATTAGAGAGGGCGCACTTTATTGACTGTATAAAGTATAAATAAAAGCTGGGAAAATAAACCACCACTGGTACCACTCTACTCTGGCTCTGGCTGTGTGAAGTGCAGGGACGTATCCAGGTGGGGAGCCGTGGGAGCCGCGGCTCCCCCCCTTTGTACACAGTGTTTAAATTTTAAAGCTTATTCTTGAGCCAATACAAATTCTTTCCTGGGATCACTGAAAACGAATACTTCTAAACATGTAAAAATGCATCAGTACACGTTATACATAGGCATAATAGAACACATAGGCCTAAGCGTGATTAAAAAATCTTAAATCCATAAATCTCAGGCCAGGTCTTTTAAGATAGAAATGCGATACTGTGGTTCAATTTCGATTTTATCCTTTTGCAAGTTTCTTTAAATGTTTGTTTAATAATACTACTACTAATAGTAATAATAATAATAACAATGATGATGATGACAATAGGAATAATTGATAATAATATTAATAACAATAAAAAGTGAAGAAAATTGTGCTAAATGCGAAAAAAAGTTGTGATTTGTTGATCATACTATAATATATATAGTTAAAGCTTAGTAAGCTATAATTAGGCCTAAGTTGTCCTGGATATTAAGTGGATTCCTGATAAAAGATTATGAGAAATTTGTTGGCGTTTCATTTTGACTATAATGGTAATGTGATGATGATGAATTTTACTATATAAAAGTGTAATTTCCGGCCATCCCGAGAGGTACTATTTCCTCAAATTTTCTCACCTCAGCCCCAGCCATGGTGGGGATGAGGTGGTTGTGAAATCACGTTTTTGAAGTAGGCCTATGTAAAGTACATACTCAAAGACAATGTTTTTAAGCTTTGATTTTTATGGTATACACACATACATTAATAAGATCTCTATGGTTGTCAAAAATCCCTGATGAAAGATAATGAGAATTTTTTTTGGCGCTTCATTTTGACTAATGGTGATGTGATGATGATGAATTTTACTAAAAGTGACATTTCTGGCCGTCTAGAGGTACTGTTTCCTCAAATTTTCTCACCTCAGCCCCAGCCATGGTGGGGCTGAGGTGTGTGTCGACTCACAAAATGTCCTCCCCCTCCACCTTTCAAAACAGATCTGTGCCCTTCCCTGGGTATGATATTAAACTCCATCGAGTCGGCTCCTGATGTATGTCTTAGTGATTGCTGTTTGTTTTTAGGATGTGATCTGGTTTTTCA